ATTCTTAGGTGCTATATCTCATTCATTAAATTGCTGCATCTGCGCAAAATTTACAAGGTAATCAATGACGCCTCTTTTCGCCATGCTTTGCCGAGACAACATTAACAATGGACCTACTTCATAAAGAGTGTTGATTTTCGAGCGCAGGATAGCGCATAATTGACTCAATGGAGATCCCTTCAGTCAACAAATCCAGAAACGATCCGATCGATATAGACATGGGTGTACGGTTTATCACCGCTTCTCACATGTTTTCACGGATTTGCAATGCTAGATAGGCTCAAGTGAGGAAAAACGCGATGTTTTTTGGTGTCGAAGCTGACAAAGGGTTTTTTTATCGATAGCACATCTTAAATTGAGTTAAACGGAGTTCCTTATTTTGCAAACTAATTTGCTATCTCTATGTCTCTTGATCACCATATTCTACTTGCAAAGGGGTGACACATCATAGGGTATCGGTACCCTGCGTATAAGACAAACGGGATGGTATCCCACTGAAAAAGATATCGAATATCTCATCGGTTTGTAAAGCTGACTGGTGTCAGCCACCAGACAGGAAAGAGCTTGAAGATATTATTTTAGGACATAATTGCCTCAATTGGATTATATTAGGATCAAGATATTCGATAGAGTAAATAAAATTCTGTTCCCTTTTGAATCGTGTTTTAGACTCATGCCTTGCGAGGCGTCTTCAATCGTAGATCGTTAAGAGTTAGCAACAACTCCCTGAGGTAGGTCCTCTTGGGCACTAAATGCTGTAGATTCACTGAAAGCTTACGGTCCCTGTTCCAGAGGATTGTTCGGTCCCTGGAACAAGGACCTCAAGCGTTACGCTTGTTGACTCATAGAGTCTAGTTCTTTAGAACTAGCATCGCTCGTCGAGCACTGTTGAGATGAAGGTTGTGGTGTTGAATGTAAATCCCGAAGTACATATATTCAAGGTCCTTAGTTCACTACCCTTAGCTAAGTCTAAGCCTTAATGTAACGACATCCTGTGATCTCATCATGTAACCGCGATCCATAACCTTCTTCCGTAACCAACACCATGAAACACCCTTTGGTGAACCGTGCATGAGCGGTGCTACTATAACACTCCCATTCACCTCTTTGGCACGGTAAATTTTTGGTTAATGCCAGTTGCTTCACGCAGGAACTTAAGAGTCTTCGTTCCGAGTCCCTTGGTCAGCATGTCCGCTAATTGATGCTTCGTTTCAATGAAATCCATCTTAATCGATCTGCATTCCACGTTCTCGCGAATAAAGTGGTGACGTATGTCGACGTGCTTCGTTCGTGCGTGATACCCAGCATTACATGCCAATGCAATGGCACCTTGATTGTCTTCCCAGATAAGTGTTCCTCCTTTTTGCTCTTAACCCATGTCCTTAAGCATCAACCGCACCCAAAGTACTTCTTGAGTGCAAAGTCTTACCGCCATATATTCAGCTTCGGCTGAGCTGAGAGCAACTGTTCTCTGGTATTTCGACTTGAATACCACTGGAGTTTTTCCATTCATCACCATGACACCTGATACTGAGCGTCGGTCATCAGTGTTGCTGCCCCAATCAGCATCCGTGTATGCTTCGGCAGTGACGCTACCGAAACCTCCTTGATACACAATACCATGTTCGCGAGTCGACTTAAGGTATTAAAGCACACGAATGGCTGCATTCCAGTGTTTAACTCCAGGTTTTTCGAGAAAACGCGACAATTGCGTAACCACATACGCGATGTCTGGTCGGTTGCATGTCGTGATATACATCAGGCATCAGATCAACGAGCGATAGGGTTTTGACCTCATTTTAGCATGTCCCTCTTCCGTAGTTGGCGACAACAAATTCGACAGCTTCAGGTTCGAAGTGCATGGGTTTTCAACCATCTTCGCGTTCTGCTGGTTGAAACGTTTCACCACGTCGTCTATGTACCGCGTTTGCCTTATCATGAGCGCACCGGCGTTTATGTCGTGATTGATCTCCATACCCAGAATGAACTTTGCTGCACCCAGCTCCTTCATCTTAAATGCGTTTTTAAGCGCCTTCTTAACTTCTTGAATCTCAACGCTTGTTTTTGCCGCAATGATCATGTCGTCTACATAAAGGCACACATACACGAAGCCATTTCGAGCACGCTTTACGTAAACGCATTGATTTGCACCGCAGCTTTTGAAGTCGTTAAGCAGGAACACATGACGAATTGTCTAGTTCCAAGCGCTTGCTGCCTGTTTCAGCCCATAGATAGCTTTGTTCAGCTTGCATATCATGCCCTTAGCGTTCTTCGCACCACATGGAGCTTCCATGTAGACGGTTTCCACCAACGTACTGTTCAGAAACGCTGTATCAGCGTCCAGCTGCTCCATCATGAAGGCGTGTGCCGCACACACAGCAAGCACAACTCGAATTGAGTTCATGTTGGCCACTGACGAGTATGTTTCGAAGAAATCAACCCCAAACTTCTGCTTAAACCCTTAAGCCACGAGTCTAGCCTTGTATCTAATAACTTGACCGCTCTCATCCCGCTTGTTAGCGAAAACCCAACGGCACCCAATTGAACGAATGTTCGTTTTACGTGATACGAGGGTCCACGTGTGATTTTTGGCATGAGAATGAAGCTCTGCATCAATAGCCTTTCTCCATTCATCTGCTTCACCACTAGCAATGGCTTCTGCATACGTGTTTGGTGTGTCTGGAATGCCGTCAACATTTGCAGCATATGCTAATACTGCCTCGGCCAGCAACCCTTCATCGTCGATTCTGGCACGCTTTGGTGGTGGTGGTCCATCACTCCATTCTGACTGATGTGCTTCGTCATCATATTTCTCGTTCTCGAGTAGCAATGCTGGCTCCCTGGATCGCCTTGAGAATGTTGTCTCAGGGTAAAACACCAACCGGTCTTCCTCGAAAACTGGCTGCGGAGGAGAATATTCAGTCAGTTCATGCCCAACTGGTGTAGGTCCTGATGACCGGAGTCGAGGATAATAAATTATCTGATCATGTTCCATCTCATCCACCCCATCCATCTCCACATCCATACCAGGGTCTTCATCGACTTCCATGGGCTCGTCCGTTAATTGCTCTATCTTCACAGGTGAGAGATTTTCATCATTATGTTCAGCGGTTACACAGACGATTGTTTCAAGCTGCGGCAACCGCGTGTCGTATATACCGGCCACCTCACGCTCGTCCATCTTGACAGAACGCGATGTCTTGATCTTAATATCGTCCAAGTCATAGAGACGATATCCCTTAGCATTTTCAGCATACCCTAGAAACATACAGCGAAAGCTCTTGGAATCGAGCTTTGTCCGCTTCACATCTTCAATTTAAGCGTACCCCTGCGACCCAAATACGCGCAAATGGTCCAGACGAGACTTCTGATCGTAGGCCAAATGAAATGGAGTCGAGTTTGAGCATGCTGTATTAGTAGAACGGTTGATCAAGTATACTGCTGTGCTCAGAGCCTCTGCCCACCATTCCATACTAACACCCTTGTAGTGTAGCATGCTACGAGCCTTCTCCATGATTGTGCGATTCATACGCTCAGCCACTCCATTTTGTTGAGGGCTAAACGGTACAGATCGTTGATGCATGATTCCTTTTTTGCATGCACATCTCAGCCACGGTGTTGTTCACAAACTCCGTTCCATTGTCTGACCTTAAAAACTTCATGCGCTTTCCCCACTGATTTTAATACAGCGCTTGATACTCCTTCAGCTTACCGGAAACTCCACTCTTAGTCCTCATGAAATACGCCACAACGTACCGCGAGTAATCATCCAAGATTGTAAGCACATGCTTAGCACCACCTTTTGAAAGTTTTCGCATTGGTCCCATCACATCGGTATGGACCCGTTCCAGTACTACTGATGTTTTTGACAGTGTTATTGATGATAAAGAGGCTACGGCTTGTATTCCTTTCATACAGCCTCCGCATAGCGTCTAGATACCTTGCTTTACCGCAGGAATTCCTTTTGTGCAACGCTGTGTCTTGGTCAGTGCATCCTTACTTGGGTGTGCCAAGCGAGCGTGCCATAGCTCCCATTTACTGTCTGCTCCAGAGTACTGCACAAATCTTGCTTCCTCCTGCTGACAGTCCAGCATGAACGCTTTGCCCATCTTCTTTCCCACAGCAATTGCACTTCTGTCGTCCCAAATGATGCACGATGAACGCTCAAAGTTGACACTTAGACCGTGTTCAGCGAGTCTTCCAACTGATAATAGACGACGGTCAAGTCCTGGAATGTGCAATACATTTATCATCTTGATTCTTCGACTGTTCACACCAGTCAACCTCACTGTTCCTGTTCCATGAACGCGTAACTTCTTGCCATCAGCAATCGTTACATCAATGCCATCGTTCAGGATTTCGTAGTCAAACAAGTCGGAACGATGCGGAGTCATATGCGATGTAGCTCCACTGTCAATCAGCCAACCGTCGAGTCTTTTCTCGCTCACAGCAAAAACTACATCATTCCCACTGTCGCCTTTCTGCACAGGACAGTCCCGCTTCAAATGACCAACTTGGCCACATCCAAAGCACTTGCCCTTGTATCCACCACCATTCTTTCTTGAAGAGATCCCCTTTCGACCGTGTCCTCGGCCTTCTTTGAACCTTCCAGCATTCCCGTTAGCGCGAAATGCTTTCTCCATGGTGGTGCCCTTCTTTTCTAGTCGCTCGTATTCCTTGAGCAGCTTCTCTTTTACCTCGATCAGAGACAAATCCTTGGCGTTCTCCACGATCGCTGAAAGTAATTCATACTCAGGAGGAAGGCTGCTTAATAGCACTACCAGCTGTCGAGCTTCGTCGACGGGCTCTCCCAGTGTCTGCAATCCGACAATGAGTTCGTCGAAATCAGCCAGATGCTTGGCCATAGTCGAAACGCTCTCCATCTTGAACTGGTGCAGACGGCGCGTCATGTTCACACGGTTCTAAAGCGTAGAGCGATTGTAGAAGTCTCGTAGCGTAGCCCATGCATGGATAGCACGTGTCGCAGACCTTATCTTGGTCTAATGCTGCAGTTCCACACCTTGAGCGATGATCCCAAGAGCCTTTGCATCGTCAATAAGCCACGCCTCGGTGATCTCGAGCTCGGGCTTCACGACCTCAACATGCGCCAGTAGCCCCTTTCGGGCTAGTGTTATCCGCATGTTGAACTCCCAGTGGTAGTAGTTACCACTTCCTAGGAGGACTTCGGAGCTCTTGATGGTCATGGCTTGAGCTTGTCTCGTGAAATTATTTATGTCAACACCCTAGCGGCTGTTAACCTGTTGAAATGAAGGTTGCGGTGTTGAATGTAAATCCCGAAGTAAATCTATACAAAGTCCTTAGTTCACTACCCTTAGCTAAGTCTAAGCCTTAATGTAACGACATCGTGTGATCTCATCATGTAACCGCGATCCATAACCTTCTTCCGTAACCAACACCATGAAACACCCTTTGGTGAACCGTGCATGAGCGGTGCTACTATAACAAGCACTAAGTTTTCATCTGACTTTCGGAGCTGTGTAGCTCCGCTACACTACTGAATTCTTTACCGGATTGTAACAGTGTTTTTTTCTACTGATGTGTAGCAGCTGACTTTTCGTTGGTTAGTTACATTTGCGATTTCACTTATCAGTAACAGCTAAAACAATTATGGCTCAAAGCCGCCATCCTACCTTTTTTTTTGCAATAGTAGCAATAACAACAATTGTTCTATTTCTATAAAACAGACGGTAACGTAATGGAATAATGGTTACGTTAACTGACCTCCGTTTTAAAAAACAAGTACCTTATTCAGAATTCCCGTATTTGGTGATCAATCCTTTTGCTTGCTTGAATGCCTCTACAATTTCCCAAGTTGCCTATTACAGAGATTCATTTATTCAACGGATCTTGCAATAGATTTTTCCACGACGTTTACGATGTCCAATTACGGCATAGACGAGTTTTCCTACAACAATATTATCTGTGAGTAGAAATCTGGCTGTTTGTTGCTTACGCTGAAGATCTTTTTCGATCGACTTATGTATTGAAATGTGAGAACGGGATGAATGCGAAGCTTTTTGGACATGGTGATTCTGTACGAATTTTATGGACCTTTTCGACGATAGAATATGGACCAATGAATCTGGTACCCAGCTTGTGTGCTTGGGAAAAATCTTTAATTGGAAGTATCCAGATTTTTGCCGTAGAGTAGTATTGGATCGCTTACCTGAAATGTTTGCTGTAGTCTTACTTGTCGTGGCATGACTCTATACGTTCTTGGACTGCACTAACTGCGTTTCGTGCTTTTTTAGAACGACTTATAACTGTAGGATAAATTCTTGATCTGTCTTTATCGTATTGTTGAATCGTGGATCAGCGGCAATATCATCTGTCATTTCGAAATATAGCCTATGTCTGCTTCAAGTTGTGACATTCCAATCCAAGAATGGGCTGAGCGACTGTATGCAAACTCTGGTAAAAATGGAAACTCGTTCCAGATATTCAAGATGGATATATGACCCCCCGAAGATAGTTTTGATAAATCTTTTCGTGCGCTCGGTCTGTCCAAATGTTTGGGGTGAAACAAGGATGAGAGGTTGTGTTGCACCTTCAGGATCGAGGTCAGTTACGTACATTTTTTGACGTGCAGTTTAATTAAGGTCGGAGATGATTGTATTGAATAAGCCATAACATGTCACATACTGTTCCATGATAAGATGTGCAGTATCTACCTCTGACGCTGCTCTTTAGTTTCTGGTAACATCACGCTACTGATCAATCGATCAACGATTACCGTGATTGCATCATTTCCATCACGTGTCTGTCGTGGAGAAACACAAAATGCAATGCAATTCTGACCCATCTTTCTGATGGAATACAAGACCAGGAGCCTCGGTCTGTATGGCCTTATTGCGCTGACACATTTCATGGTCTTCACATAACGCTGTATGTACAAACACATTTTAGACCAATTATATCTCGTTTAAACGACTTGATATTTCTTGTAGCAACCTGGATATCCCGCTACCAAAATTCGTGTTTTTTCGTCAATACACATTGTTTTTTTTAATATCTTCCAGATCAGGAAGTACCGGTCTTGGATGCTCCTTTTCTTAGGTGTGGTAGTACATGTCCGTTGATTATAGTACACTTGTCATTTATTATCTTAAGTAATCGCTCAGATGATTTCTTGAACTCGTTGGTCCAAAATAAATGAATTAAATGATCTTTGTTCAATCCAAAATTACGTAGCTTCAATTGTTGCCAATATCTCACGATTTGCTGCTTTCTCGACAAGATCTCAAAACTGACTAGAGCAGCTTTGTATTTGGAGTTTAGGTGTTTTAATAGTGCATCCGCCACTTCGTTTGTATTGCCAGGAATCCGCTTGATGCGTGGCTGAAATCCAGCCAGCTCATTGAAACATCTGACTAAATTTCGATCAGTATTCTTTTGTGTCCAAATAGCTTCAAGGCTCATGCGATCACCAAACGACCAACAAACGAAGAGCAAAAACACACGCCATACTTTTAAGTCGTGCATAATATCGTTTTTCTAACTGGATAGTTGAGCTCAGCCGGCTTCATCTTCCATCCAGTATAAGAGGTCGAGTACTCTTGACATTCCTCAACTTATAACAAAACCCTTTCAATTACAAAATTAGATGCACACTAATTACAAACGGTTTGGAGAAGTGCGGGAGTCGTAACACAGGAGTTGAGGTTAATTGATGCTTAAATTGTTTGAAACGGTCGTGGTGATGGTCCAATATAAAGACAGGCATTTGAACTAAATCCTTTGATCAAAGTATGGAGAGGTCCCGAATCCTTCGAATTTGGGGCGGAAGCAGGATGCATATAAGGCTGCACCAAGAAAACTCTCCATGTGTTTCTTCGTCGTCGGCACAGGTCAATTTTGGATGATGTTGACCCTGTCCAGGTCCATGCGTACAACTTTATGACGACGAAGTCGTCAAGACAACTAATTTACGCAACGCAGAATTGGTACTTCGCCGTTTAAAGTTCGACTGTCGTTCTTCACATCTCGTAAGGACGCGGTATTTACGCTTAAAAATGGTAATCAATGTTCGCGCTGTTTTTTTTGTTGAGCGTATAAAATATCGAAGTAAATTCACATGACGACCCGCGATCGCTAAAGAAACGATGGAGCAGTCCATCAGAAGTATTAGAATCTCCAATAGTCTCACAGTTGACCAAGGTACTCGCACAAACTATTGGTTATTACAGGCGGTGAATGGATTGTCTTGTTCTCGGATCTTGAGTTGGTAATATCCCCATTTAAAATATAGGCAAAAAACTTGTACTAACCCATATGACATCAAATGTGTTCTCTTTTCTTGGCATCGGTATGGCGAGAAATGTGGTGGATGCATAAGACTGACCAAAAGTATTCACAATTCTCCGCCTGACAGGTTATTTCACACAAATAGGAGTGCGGTAAATGGAGAAATGATTCGAACCAGGTGCGATCTAGTCTGTATCCTCCTCTCAGGAATATAGGTACGTCTGAAGTCACTCTTTGGCTAGGCCACTATTGTGGCGCACACTTGTGATTGGCTTAGAATGGATTCAGGGTGAATACGATCACATACGCAAAGGCTGGACGCTCATAATCAAAGGCTCATCGCGTTGCCCTAGCATACGAATTTCTAGTTACTACATACATTAACAGCGTCATGCGAATTCTTCAGTGACTGCTGCTGTATAGTGTGTTGCGTCTTGATTCAGTTCTCCTAATTGGATTACTTAAATCGAAGGACGAGCTCCAGAGCTTGCTTCTCTATCTTAGGCTTGGACGTAGCATCGTCAAACTGAGGACATAGCTAACATTAATTCACTTTTCATTATATCCTCTTCTTGTTGCATCAAATTACAGTACCCTTGGCGAACCTTGTCGCCCAATTTTTATAATCTTCGACAAATTACTTGACTGCTATTAGATAATTGCTGGTAAAAGTTAAAAATAATAAAAAAAGCGAAACATCATTTTTGATGCCTCGTTTTTATTATTATTTGTGACGCTGGTAAAAGTAAAATGTTGTGAACAAAAACTTGGTACACACCATCCTGGGTCATGTCGAGTCTCCATTAAGTACGCTGCTGTGGCTTCCTCTTTCGAACCGGTCCAAGTGGCTGCACCACCTCAACCCTCTCCAATGTGTTATCTGGTGTGCTGCACCCCACATCCGCCTCGCCCTCGTCCATGGCCGCAGTCAATGTGAATGTGGGCGTTCTGGGCCACGTCGACAGCGGCAAGACGAGCCTCGTGCGGGCCCTGAGCACGCATCTGTCCACGGCCGCTCTGGACAAGAGCCCGCAGAGTCAACGCCGTGGCATCACGCTGGACTTGGGCTTCTCTAGCTTCCGATTGGACGTCAGAAAGGGAGGACCATCATTCCGCCAAGTGACGCTCGTGGACTGTCCCGGCCATGCCTCCTTGTTCCAAACGGTTTTGGGAGGTGTAGCCATTATTGACACAGTGGTCCTTGTAGTCGACTGCCGCAAAGGGCTGGAGGCCCAGACGATCGAGAGTTTGTTGCTGGCGTCGCTCGTGTGTCCTCGGCAACTGGTGATTGTACTGACCAAGACGGACTTGTTGTCCGCTCTTGGTGTGGAAAGAGCGGCCGCGATTGGCGCAGTGACGAGTGAGATACGGGCCTTTGTGGCGACCCACGTTCGCTCGCTCAAGGACGTGACTATTCCCGTCGTGCCTGTGGCCGTGGGGACTGGACACAAGACTGAGGGGATTCCGCATCTCTTGGAGGTGCTACGGACCCATTTGCAGGCTCCAGAACGTGACACAAGTGGAGATTTTCGTCTTGCGGTGGACCACTGCTTTGCTGTACCAGGCCATGGTACTGTGCTCACTGGCACTGTGCTGTCTGGAGCGCTTTCGACAGGAAGTGAGCTGGAGCTGCTGCCAATTGGGGCGAGGACTACAGTGAAGACGCTGCAGGTGTTCCGAAAAGACGTAGAAAGGTGCGTTCAAGGTGATCGAGTTGGGCTGCGTGTGAACGGACTGGACCCGGCACTTGTAGAACGAGCGTTGGCAGTGTCGCCGCCGGGAAGTTTGACTGCAGTGACGCAGGTGGTCATTGCGGTGGCGCGTGTCCCGCTCTTTCAAGGCAGAGCGTGCAAGAGTGGAGCCAAGTGTCATGCGACGGTGGGACATACGACTGTTATTGCCACTGCCACATTCTTCGCCCGATTGGGAAGGACAGAAG